AAGCCCTGCACCAGTAACATGAGTACAGTTCCTAAGTTCAAAGCTAAAGAGGAAAAAAACGGAGGCTGCACAACCCGATCAGTCATTACACAAATGCCAGGTTGCTGGGATCGTGTTTTGTAAAACTAACATAAAACAACGGGGAAGAACTACTACTGGCAAGAATTCCTGGCAAGTATTTGCTTACGATGAACTTTCCACAAACTTTCACAGGAGCTGATGGCAAATAACTGCTGATAAAAACAAGTGAACTCCAATTTTTCTTCCAACTAAAAAATTAAAATAAAAATTGGTTTAGGTCTACATATACATGAAGAAATTCAACTTCTTTTAGCAAGGACAGCATCTCATCAAATCAATAGTTCCTGGTTCATTAGATGCAATGTATTCCTTTGATTTATTCCATGTGTACTACTTTACTTTGAGGGTGACAGAGCACTGGAACAGGCTGCCCAAGGGGGGTGTGGAGTCTCCTTCTCTGGAGATATTCAAAGCCTGCCTGGACCAAGTCCTGTGTAACATGCTCTAGGAGAACCTGCTTTAGCAGGAGGGTTGGACTAGATGATCTTCCGAGGTCCCTTCCAACCCTTGCCATTCTGTGAGTCTGTGTATACTGCCAGTACTCATAAATATTTGCAATCACAGTTTAAATAACAGTTTAAGTAACTCCCAGACAATTCCAACTAGACATCCGTGAGTTTAATCTTGAAAACATCATTTTTGAGAAAAGTGAAACAATGTAATGTGACCTTCACTACCATGAATCACTCAAAAATACTATAGCTCCAGAAGCTCTCCATGACAAAATACTTAATCACCTCCATGGCTTAACAATATTTTCTTTAAAGCTGTATTCATTAACCATCCTCTGATACTTCAGACTTTTGAGAACTGCAACCTGCCTGGCTAAAGACAGATAGAATTTGTGAGTAACAGATGGAGCAGCCTTCATGTTTTTGTTTTGTTCACTTAAAAATTCTACTGTTGTAATATGGGTTGGTTTGTTGGGTTTTGGAGGGCTCATTTGGGTTTTTTGGGGGGTTGTGTTTTGGTTTTGTTGGGTTTTGGTTTGGTTTGGGGGGGGGTTGTTTGGTTTGGGGGATTTTTTGTTTGGTTCTTTTTTTTAAGAACTCTACCATCAGCATTTAAACTTAATATTATCTTTCATTTTATTCTTTCCTATTATACCCCTCTTTAAGGATAAGCTCTATGAAGGTCTTGTTCAGAAAAGTAGTAAAGAGGAAGAGCAATGGCAGTTCTGCCATTTTATTGCTAAATCTATGTGTTACTGGATTAAGATTCTTCAGATCACAGCCAGAACTTCGATGCTTACAGAAAGTAACAGACCAATTAGGTAACTTTAGAAAGTCTTGACAATATTGATTACAGTCTAATAATTCATGTACAGACCAGTCTTCAGAAAGAGCAAGAAATGACTCCTGAAACACTGTACATAAATGCAAAAGGGAAGACACACAGGCTGTGTTTTTATTGATTAACACAGATATATAGCTATCACTGTAATAGAAGATCTATTGAGCGTGCATACTGGGAAGAGGACAGCAAGAAAACCAAAACAAACAAAAATCCCATCACCTCAATTTTCAGCTAGCAATGTTTTTCTATCCTCATTTTAAAGTACCCGCAGAAACCAAAATCTGTTATCAGTCACAGAAAGAAAAGTAGGTATCTTGACAAGAATTAAATTAGCCTGTGGCAAACTTACGCAGAGTACTTTATCAAGAAATGCAGTTTCATATTTCTGCCACATTATTAGCTGAAACTATAGGGTTCATAGGCTTGACAGAAAGGTAGTTACAAAAATAAAATTTAAAAACCCCAAACACGCACACAAAAACCCCCACATAGCACAATGCACACATGCCCATGCTGCACTTTTAAAATAGCTGTAAGTCAGTTTCAGCGAGGCAATAGCTAAACATGTTGTCCCAGTGCATTTCCACTACACATGCTAGCACCCATAGAGCCACAGAAGAAGGTGGGCCATCGAAGCAACCCAGTTAAAATCTAGTTAGTAGGGTGGCACGGTGGATATAGAGTCAGTGTTTTCAGCAGATCAGTTTCTTGATCCAGTTTATCACATGGCCACAGAACTCTCTACCAGCACAAAGGAGGGAAGAGGTAACCAAAAAAAACCAACTCCAAAAAACCTATTTTATTACAACAGGAATACCATTTACTCAAACATCGGATTGCAATAAGGTGTTCTAAATAAATATACTTGGAAAAAAAAATAAATCAAAAAATGATCCATACCCTTACCTTTCCGCGTGTTCTCCGTCACATCTACACCAAACTGGATGATGTCACCTGACATAATTTCACATGGTGGGCTTTCCTCAGATCCTCTACTCAGTCTCTGACTATTAATAAAGGTACCATTACTACTTTTAGTGTCTTGAAGATAGAACTGTAAAAACAAAACAAAAAAAAGAGTAGTAAAATATCTGGAAAAAACCAAAAGTAGTATGATGAAACATAAGCTCCAGTAAAAATTTATTTGCTATAAAACGTAGCTTGACTTCTCAATATAGAAGAGGACAAGTGTATCAAACTCAAAATACCCTCCTCAGGATGCAATACCAGCACGTTACCAAAACACACTTGCATTTGATTTTTAGTTGTTTAACCCATAATTGAATTCTAGCACATAAGACTACGCAAATAATCGCCACAAACCGTACTTAACCTACTGCCTGCATGGAAAGGATAAGACTTTGTTAGCAACACCACCTTCTGCCACACATACGTAAGAATTTATATTTACGTTGGTCAATATGCAAGAACTCTAACTGCCCATACATTTAAGGTACCAGTATTCCATGACAGAAACACACTGTAGTGAAGACTATCGCTGGGGCCACAAGGAAAAGCTTTGGCAGAAGACACAATTCAGGAATTGTAGTATAAGACCATGGTGAAACTAGGGAAAAAAACCTTAGGATGCTCTTACCTCTCAGCGATACTAGTTCACAGCATTAAGTTAATCTCAAAATTGCTGCATCAAGTATCTTTGTAAATGTCCACTTGTAGAGTTAATTAAATTTTAATAGCAACTTACTGAATCTGAAACTGCTTATGACACAAGACTTCTAGTCAAAACTGCTGCATCTGAGAAGAGGTTACAAGTGAGTCACCTGGCAAAGACCAGAGTCACTGGCTGAGACCTGACTAGCAGACAGCATGAAAGAGGGGACTGGAAGGGTACTGACCAGGCAGGTGTAACTACTGAACTGAGTCACTTTCAGTAGTTCAAGATGACAAGAATTGCCCAGTTTGGGTCAGTTATTACAGGAACCTGATTGTAGAAATCCCTGCCTTCCTGTACTCATAAAGGAAGCTCACCAAGTCCCAAAGCAAGCGTAAGTCTAGGGGAGAGATGTTGCCTTCAAAGAAATGAATGTATTCCCATGTTTTTCCTATAAAAGCAATTGACAATTTTTTTCAGGATTCCATGCAAGCTTTCCCATGCTTTTATTTGCCACTATTATCACACTCCTAAAAAAAAAAAAAAAAAAAAAAAAAAAGTGATATATAGCTCAAAACAGTACAGTTGAGGGAAAAAGTGGGTTTAAAATGGAGCGAGAGACCAGCACTAGGGCTCTTCAGATCTCATATTGGAAAATGACACCAAGCATGCGTTTCTCACACACCTGTCCTGAGCAGCACAAAGCAGTGCCCCAACCTGAGAGCTTAAGTGCCTCTGAGTCCAGAAGATGGAAGTCAATACAGTAATCAAGGGGAATGCCAGCACAGGAAAGCTCAGTTAGGTGTATGTAATGACAGAATGAAAAGCAGCACATGGAAGATTTTTTTCCCCAACAGATATGCCTTTGATCTTAAGTTGAAGAAAAAGAAAATAATAATCAAACAGTCATTATGTTCATAAAGATGAAGGGTAAACACAAATTATGGACAGATCAAGAAACTATGGTTACATTCACTGCATTAACAATCAGACCCACCCTACCCTAAATAATACTTTCTATATTATGAAGTACTACATATTATTGTATAATAATATAACATCATATAATATAGCTTTTATAACAGTCATAAGTTTAAAAGCCAATCAAATTAATTAGCTCGTTAACTGAACCCTCCCACGGTTCAGTGCAGAGATAATTATTTTTTACTTCCTGTTTGTTTGCAATTGGCATTCTGCTCCATTTGAAAATCCTTCTGTTATGAAAAGGTGAGTCACAAGTAAGGAGAAACAAACATGCTTGTGCTTATTTGGTTTTCCCCACCCTTTCTTTTCCTATGCATAATGTCTGATTTTTATCCCTCCAACTTTCTGATTAATCACTGCCCCTTGTAAGCACACTTCTGCAGGATCTGCAGGTGGGGCACAGACAAGGTAGCACCGGGAAATGCAAGAGAGTGACCACAGGAAAGGAAGTGCAACAGAGCATCAGCAATACAAAACTTGCAAAACACCAGTAGACTCAAAATTCAAATGGCGCAAAAAAAAAAAAATCTGTAAACAAATGGCCATAGAAAATACACATTAAATTTAATATTATTAAATTGATGTCTGTTTAACTGTATGCTACTGAATTTCATTATGTAAATTTTAGAAAAGTGATGTTCTTGATGTCTTTACAAACAGGATTAAGAATCTCTCATCTTCCTGCATCTAGTAGAGAAATAAGCAAAACCAGCAACATGTTAATAAGCTCACATCCAAGTAGAAATGCACTGACTTCAACACTTTGCAAAAAGGATTCAGTCATCTTGTCTTTAATTCTATGATGGTGTGACGTCAACGGTGGACAGAGGGAAACCAATGGATGTCATCTATCTGGACTTCTGCAAGGCCTTTGACACAGTCCCCCACAACATCCTTCTCTCTAAATTGGAGAGCTATGGATTTGATGGGTGGACTGTTCGGTGGATAAGGAACTGGCTGGCTGGTCGCATCCAGAGGGTAGTGGTCAATGGCTCAATGTCCGGATGGAGATCAGTGACGAGTGGTGTCCCTCAGGGGTCCGTACTGGGACCGGTGCTGTTTAACATTTTCATCAATGACTTAGACAGCGAGATCGAGTGCACCCTCAGCAAGTTTGCGGATGACACCAAGCTGAGTGGTGAGGTTGACACACCAGAAGGAAGGGATGTCATCCAAAGAGACCTGGACAGGCTGGAGAGGTGGGCCTGTGTGAACCTCATGAGGTTCAACAAGGCCAAGTGCAAGGTCCTGCACCTGGGTTGGGGTAACCCCCAGTATCAATACAGGCGGGGGGAAGAAAGGATCGAGAGCAGCCCTGCCGAGAGGGACCTGGGGGTACTGATGGATGAAAAGCTAGACATGAGCCGGCAATGTGCGCTGGCAGCCCAGAAGGCCAACCGTACTCTGGGCTGCATCGGGAGAAGCGTGGCCAGCAGGTCGAGGGAGGTGATTCTGCCCCTCTACTCAGCTCTGGTGAGACCTCACCTGGAGTACTGCGTCCAGCTCTGGAGCCCTCAGCACAAGAAGGACATGGAACTGTTGGAACGGGTCCAGAGGAGGGCTACAAAAATGATCCGAGGGCTGGAGCACCTCTCCTGTGAGGACAGGCTGAGAGAGTTGGGCTTGTTCAGCCTGGAGAAAAGGAGGCTACGGGGAGACCTGATTGCGGCCTTCCAGTACCTAAAGGGGGCCTATAGGAAAGATGGGGAACGTCTTTTTCATAGGGCCAGCTGTGTTAGGACAAGGGGAAATGGTTTTAAACTAGAACAGGGTAGGTTCAGGCTAGAGGTAAGGAAGAAATTTTTTACAATGAGGGTGGTAAAACACTGGAACAGGTTGCCCAGAGAGGTAGTGGAGGCCCCATCCCTGGAAACATTCAAGGCCACGTTGGATGGGGCTCTGAGCAATCTGATCTAGTTAGCAGTGTCCCTGCTCACTGCAGGGGGGTTGGACTAGATGACCACTAGTGGTCCCTTCCAACCCTAAACATTCTATGATTCTATGATTCTATAATTTAGCAATTGGTCCGCAACCTACAGCACTGGTCCCTTTCATGTAGCAAATTTAAATGTTATTTCCATACTAGTTTTCACTAGTTCGAATTATCTTAAAGGTCTATCCCTTCCTCACTTTTGTATCATTACTAGAAGTTATCTTTAGAAAACAAAATCAAGTGCAAGCCCTGAAACAAACATGTATATGATAACTAGTGTTTATGGTAGTATACTGGTATTTAATATACTATTGATTACACAGTATCCTTGGTGGATTCTCCTATTCCCAAAACAACAGCCTTTACACAGCAGCTATGTAACACAGCACCTTCTGTGAAACCAGCACCATTTGTTTCTCCTGCTTTCCAGCACAAACCAACAAACTTCAGCAGCAGTGCTAGCTTAAAGAGTAACTATAAATCTTTCCCTGCCCCGATGCTCATTGCTGAGTTGCACCACTACCTCTTCAGTTGCACTGGCTCAAGCATTTGTTTAGTCACTGCAAACCAGCTTCAAGAGCTGATGCAATTTATATGAGGAGGTGCTTAAGCTGGTACGGTCAGAAAAAAGTGCAGCATATACTGACCTAATTACACTTGCTTTTGTAATTCACACTTCCCTTCAGATCAAACTTAAGTCCCAGCCTCTTTGTGCCTCGTATTAACAAATCCAATTTAGAGCAGAGAGGATGGCTCAGGAGCATTCAAAACACCTCAGCCTTTGAGGACTGTTAAAGAATTATCACATCCTTAATTCAGATCACAGCTATATATATGGTTAAGAGTGGTAGTTTTCCCTCTTTCCTAAAATACAAGGTAACATACAACTATTTAGAAACTTACTCTGCAGTATCGTAACACCTTCTCAGACAGAAAAAGAAATCCCAGCCCACAGTAATTCATGTTCTTGTGACAGCTTGCATCCTCTCTTATTTATACCCCATTAACAAACTCAGTTAACTGCAGACATCCTACCATGCTGCTTCCACAAAAGTTATGGAGACTTTGTTCTAAAGTCAAGCTTGCAATTCGCCAGTACACTCCATCTTCTCCAGTACAGCCCATCTTCTTTAGAAACTGCATTAAGGAAGTTTTTTCGAAAACCTAAGGATTTTTGTTTCCATGTTTTACAAGGAATTATGTATTAATTTTACAAATTTATTATTTAGCATATTTCAAGTTAATATTCAGTTTTGCAAACTGAACAAAAGAACCTCCTCTGCTTTGACCTGTGGTGTATAGAAATCTCATTTAAGTTCCATTGGTTTCTAGGCCATTGACTCAGAAGAGTACCACAACTTGCTAAATCAGTCTTCATTTTACTTTCATGCAGTTAGATAGCACTACAATTTTCCCCCCTGTAACAAATTCCTAATATTTCCTGATTAATCAAATAGAAAAATTCTTCCAGAGAGATCCCAGATTAAAATACATTCAATTCATGCACATACAATATATGTATCCT